TTCAGGAGATGACTTCTGGGAGTTGGAGTCGTAAAAGGTATGAAGGATGGGGGCAGGGGGAGGAAGAGGACCTGGCTATAGGAATACTTAGGCAATGTGTTCTGCCAAGTTTGATTTGCTGATGGGTCTGCTTTCAGCCATCGTGAAAGCAAGTTTAGAGTGCTGAGAAGCACGAACTCCAAGATAAGCTGGGGTATGTTTGTAATGATATCATGGCTCAGAGCAGCAAGGAGACACAAATGACAGCTTTGCAGCATTGAAAGCTTTCATAATCTTAACTTTGCAGACATGCGTTTTTGTTAAACTTAGGGCAGCTGAGCTTTAAGGGATGCTCTGGTATTCTGGGATTTAGACCAGTCTCTAATTTCTTGAGCCATCTGGTATAATAAATTGATTTATCTGGATGTGTTATCTTCTGGAATTGTCAAGTAATCACCACTGCTGGTCTTGGAATTTTGAAGTCAGTGAACAAATAGTGTGACTACTGTGTCATTCAGTCTAGGCCAATTGAAAATGTAGATGAAAAGTAAGTATTTAATCATCTTTTAAACTTCTGAATGTGCTGTGATGTCCTGAGAGTTTTAGATGGCTGATTAAACCAAAGCAGCTTTCATTTTAATAGATTAGTGAGATAGAGAACTTGCTCCCAGGTTGGGATACCATGCAGTCTCAAGTATTCATGCAGTTGGGGTGAGTAGCTCGGGATCACTGGCAAGCAAGGATACATGGGGACATGAAGTATGTAACCATGCATCACATGGAGAAGATGGAAGAGTGTCTCTCCCTCTCTCCTCCTAGAACCAGGGCCGTTCCAGAGAAACTGATGGGTGGTCATAATCACCTGTCCAGAGGGCTTTAAAATGGGATTATACACACTCTGGCCTCCATGGTCAGCCAGTAAGAGGCTGCACCCACTCCCTCCCAGGTCGAACCCCATGGTATTATAAAGAGCACTTTGACCCCATCCAACAGCCAGCTGCAGGGAGTTTGCTTCCCCTCCACTCTTGGAAAGATCGCTCGGCCTCAACTTCCTGAATTTGCTTGCTTTCCTCTTTCCTTTTGTAACATGTCCATTAGATTTCAACCCTGTCAGTGGGGATTGTTTTAAGGCTCCAATTCTATGCATTTTTAAGCAGAAGAAAGGCCACGCTGGCTCCGGCCTTTGAGGATTCTAGGCCTTTTTTGTTTCCAAAGGTGCATGGGAGTGAATCCTATGCATCTTTATAACCGTTAATAGGGAAAGGCTATCGGTGACTTTTAGTCACAAGAGCTGTATACTGTCTCCAGGATTAGCAGTAGCCTAACTCTGATATCCAGTTGTTTGATGTTCATCATCCTATTACGGATGGATCCAGTGGGGTCAGGATATTGATTTCATGTCCTGCTTTTAGGTTTCTTGAAGACATCATCCTGGCCAACATCAGAGGGAGGTGCTGGACTAGGTACGCCTTTGGTCTGATCTAGCAGGGCCCTCTTACAGACTTACGATATGCTATCAGACATGCCCAAACAAACTAGAAGCTTTCCTTCACTTCTAATTTTAGTATAGCAGCGAGTAATAAAATCAGCTTGTACGGGATGGAGTTGTAAATGGATGTATTGCTAGATACTTAGCAATGCTTTGTATTGGCAAGCTGGGGAGAAACAGTGATGCAAACAAGTGTGCTTAACATGTATTTGCACACTGCTTCACAATGTATCATAATTTGATTCTCTAGGAAAATAATCTGCATAGCGACGTATATTCCATCCTACTTCCTGAAGCTCATTCTTACCACATCTTTCCTCTATTTTGAAGCAGCTCTACATAGGCTGGGGTTGCTCAGTTAGTCTGCTGTCTGGAATCCCACTCCCTTAAATTCAGTGGCCTTATTTTTGCGTAGGCTTGCAAAAAGGTTTGCACTCTTGGTATTTTTGGGGGGTGGGGGTGGGCAAAGCAAGCAGGCAGTCCATAGGACTCTAAAGGTGGAAGAGATCAAGGGGACAACTAGGAAACCATTGTGCAGATGTATTACTCAGACTTGGCATCACATATTGCTTCTTAAGATTGTTGGAGGACATGGGCCATGGTCTTGAAATGAGTTTACAGTCCTACGGCTGTGGTGAGCTGACTCTAAATAGGAACCAATTGAAAAGTCTCTCAAGTAACTTAATGGTTTCTAATCCTCTGTCGTGCATGATTTATCTGATCCACAGCCCAACCTATCCTTGGTTCCTAGTAAGTGAGTCTTGTGGAAGTTAGCCTAAATGTGCCTTTGACTGTAGTCACATCCATTTGGACTTGCAGGCCTATTTTGAAGACTCAGCTGCCTGTGCAAAGAGAAGAGTAGCATTTCCCAGCATTGCAGGATCTCACCACCTCCCCCCCCAAAAAAAGAAAAAGATCAAGCACACCCACTCTACGGATGCAGACTTGATCTGCAATGGCCGCAGCTGAGTTTTAAGGAAGTTTTCCCATTTACTAAGGACAGTAAACACTATCAGTTCTTAAGTGATTTGCTTGAGTGATGAAATTTCATATTCATGTGGTAGTTAACTGACCTGGAACACCAGCAGATTTTCCACAATAAATGACTGATACTTATATTCTGATTTTGAACAATAAATGACTGGTGCTGAGATTCTGCCTTCCAATGAAGTAGGGAGGAATACAACTAATTGGTCTCATAATGTGGTGTTAAACACTTTAAACCATTCACTTTAATGTAAGCTGTTTTGCTTTGGATCATTCTAGTGACGAAAATGATTATTGGTAACTATTAAATGTAGTTGAATGGCACAGATGTAGAGAAATGTTGGATGTGGGCTTCTGCATCTATTTTGATGCATATGTAAATAAAAGTATTTGATTGGAGGCTTCATTTACATCATGCTTGCTTACCTAGAGAAGATGAATTTGTTCAGCAGCGTGAGTGCTTGCCACCGCAGCTGCTTTTCATTGCTTAATAAAAATGGGAAGTGTGACTGGCAAGTTGACAATTCTCTTGTGCTAGCTGAATTTTTCCATGAGGCTGAGATGACCAAGGGATGCTGCTATTAACCCCAAATATGGCAAACGGCTGGCATGTTTCAGGATTATAACCGTAAGCATAAAAGATAAACATTTAAACATTTTAGGTGCTGAAGAAACACGTTTCTGTGGGTCCTAGGAACCTCACCATCTAGGATGAAAACATATGGGGAGCAGAAAAAGGAAGGCATTGCTAATGTCATAAATAGACTTTATTCTGCTTTTGATCCAGTTCAGCTGTTGCGGCTTCGAGAAAACCTGGGAAATGTCATTTTTAAGGATAAAATGTGCAAGATTCCGTCTGAAAGACACAGATGGTTGGTGTCTGGTCTGAACCATGGGCACCCACTCTATTGAGCAATGAGCTACTAGATGTTCCCCTGCTTATGTTTACTAGCGATGGGTCTGTGCACCAATGCATAACATTGCACAATCGAGCCATTCCCGTTGTGGTTTCCTACCTTTTGTGTTTTCGCTTAGCATGCTGGAGGCCACTGCAGCTGAACTCTGTTTGCCATCTTCTTCTTGCTTTTGTTGAAGGGCTTTTGCACTTCAAGGGTGTTGGAGGCTTCTGCAGCCCCATTTCCTTTTTCTCTTGATCTGCTGAGCACTAAACATGTGGTAAATTTTGGTGGTGTTACTTGAATTTTCTGCCTTTGTTTTCCCTTAGCTACATTTAGGACTACTTTTGGGAATGGGTGGGGGTTCTGGCTGTAATTCATGTCCAAGATGGCTTATAATTGATAAGGCAGGTTCAGCGGCTCAGTAGAACTGACAGCCTTGTTAAATTGTGCTTTTAGAAAGCGTCCTAAAACCGCAGTTTTGAACCACATTTAGTCGACTAGGACCAGTATCCTTGAAATTTTCAGCTAAGCATGTTTAGAATTGGGGCATCCATGACATAACTCTGCTTTATATTGCATGGGATTCTTCATAGTAATTCAGTGGTTTACTGTGGGTTTTTAGAAAGTGCCTGGATATATCATATATCAAATATCTATACTTTTGGACAAGGTATCATCATGTACCAGTCTTTAAATAATATGGAACGAGCAATTTATGCTGATTATAATTGAGGCTGTCTACTTTATGACTTTTTCTGTCTAAACATTGCAGTCTTAAATTGCTTGTTACATGTGTGTGTGTGTGGGTGGGGGGCAACTTAAAGATTAACAGCTGACAAGACCTCCACTGGGTTCATGTGAAATGACAAACCACAGTGCATTGCTACGTTGTGTGAACCTGGACTGACTTATGCGAGATGGCTTGTTTGAGGGAAACCAGTTACCCTGACATCCCATAGTTTCTTTTCTGGGTTGTGTAACCCACTGGGTTGCCATGTTGTCAATGCTTGGGTGACCAACCCCATTGTGAGTTCTCGGAACTGGCCAGCAATTTATTGGGAAGAGAAGCACCTCCCCACCAGCAGAACCTGGCTAAGCTCGCCCTGGCACCTGGCAATTCCAGCCCACCCCACGAGTGCCCGAGCAGCACCTGGGGGCGCCTGGCACAAGCGGCCTGCTCCAGTTACGAGCCATTCCAGCTCGCCAAAGACTTTTAGTCGCGCCAGCTTTTTCCTCAACGATCGCAGAAGGCCAGCAGCTCCAGGCCCCTTTGTCACAGCCGCAGTCCCTTCTCAAGTAGTGCACTTGCTGTGGTTGGGGAAAAAGTTTTAAAGGTTTGTTTGTTTTTTTAACAAAAAGTTTTTACTTTCAGTATGTGCTGCATATATTGAAAGGTTTGCTGCACACGCACAACTGCGAAGATGAGCAATTCCACAAGTGCGGCCCTTGGACGCTTCAGCTGGGTCAGTGCCCCATAACACACGAGATGCCAACCCTAGGAGTTGAGCCAAGGGGCTCCAATAGGCGTTCTGTTTCCTTTGGCTTCTCTTGAGAGTTCTCAGAAGATGCCCTGACCAGGGTAAGCAGTGCATTATCTTGAAAAGGGAACAGTTGGATCTCCACTCCTAAGGCTGAGCTCACGTTTGTTTGTTTGTTTTGTTCCTGAGAATCTAGGTGTTAGGGAATAGGGGAACGTGTGAGCCAGCCTCTTTCAAAAGGAGCCAGTATTTAAAGAGTTGGCTGTCAAAACCCTGGTTCCTTTTGAAAGGGCTTTCTCGTCAGGCCTCCCCATGTTTTCTTGACAGAGGCATATGCGTTTATGCCTGCAAATGTCTTTGTCAAACCATGGAGAGTTCTTCCAAGTAACCCTTTTCTAGAAGTGTCGGACCTCTGTTAGCAAGATCCTGACACATCCAGTGTGCCATTTGTGACGGTCAGTGGCTATCGGAATAGGGATCGCAAAAGCTGGCTGCCAAGAAACGGTTCAAGTGACGAAAGGGGCTCACAATCATGGTTCAGAGGGGACAAGTTAGTCTTGCTGTGGGATCCCCTGGAATAATGAGCCCAGTTGTCTGTCAGGTCTGTCAGGTACACTGTGGGTGGTTAGTGGGAAAACGCAACTCGTTCCAGCTTTCTGCAAAGCTGAGATGGGTGAGGATCCTTGTAGAGGTTCTGCTGTATCCATAGCTCTGTATTGATAAATGTTGGCAATACTTGGCCTGCTTTTGACATGACATAGGCAACAATCATAATCATATTTATTTAATATATAACATAGATTGTAATCATAAGAAATTTTGATTCTGCCTGTAGCTGGGCTATAAATTTCTAATACAATGTAAGGAGAACTGTTTTCCTTTTTTTATCATGCCAGTAGTTTTTCTCTGGTATATGCAGCAAGTAGAGCAAGCTTTTTATAGTACAGCATGGAATCTGACAGTGCATTTTTTAGTATGTTGGCTGGAGGTGATACATTTTAACTTAATCCAGTTGACAATTAGGAGTTGAAATAGAAATTAGAGTAGAATAAAGTAGAAGGCCAACACATGTTGTTTGAAGAATTGGGTGTAGACACTCAGAGGTTTTGTAACTGCCTGAGATGGAAGGCTTTGAGATTTTACATAATGGGCTATGGTGGAGGAATGATTTTCTGAGTCTGAGCAATAGGGCTGTGCAGCAGTTTTTCACACTAGCATTTCGAGCACAACCAGGGGGTTTTAGTCACATAGTTCAGCCCAGAGGAAGAGGTATCAGCAGTGCGGTGACAAAGCGGTGTGTGTATTTTGACAAAGCAGAATGATAGGTGCCTTTTTATTTAAGAGGGAACTTTAAGATTCCCTGTTCCTGCCCATAGGGAGAGTGTTTAAAAGTGTGACAGTTATTCGGGAACTGACTAGTAGCTAGAAAAAAGACAAGCCCTTGTACTCTTCAGGTATTCTCGTAGCTCATAGCCTCATGACTGGAATTGGAAATGGCATAAGTAAGCCAGGCTTGAGAGCTGGGGTGTACTGCATGAATACGTCTTCCCAAGAAAGTTTGCAGTTTCAGTCCACTTAGTGCATTTGATGGCATGAGCTTGTAAAAGCTGTTTGAGAGAAATCAGATAGTGAACAAGTTGTATTTTTGCTCTTGTAGGCTAAAGGAGTTGCTCAATTTAAAGGTAGGCTACCAACTTGGAATGTACCTTGTAAACAAGCTCCTTTACTTGATTTGCTGAATGTGCCTGATTTAGTGCAAAATGTGCAACTGAATGGTTCTATATGGTCAAGTAAAAATAGACTGGAGAAAATGCAAACGGGGCATTTTTCCATCTTGACTATTTTGTGCTTTGTACGTCTGACATAAAATTAGTTCTGTCGTTTCCTCTTTTCTATTGTTTCCTTAAATGTGGTTGTCTTTCCTTTACTAAAAATGTAAAAATCTAGGCGTTAGTATGTTTTCAGGTTCACCTTTTGAGAACATTTTTAAATTTAATGTTTCCTACAGTGTTTTCATTTTAAATGAAGGAATACTAATTTTATCCCACCAAATTTAGTTTTATCTTACATTCTTGTAACTTTATCATGAATAGTTAGACTTGTCCTGGATATTTTGGAGTAGGGAGCTAGATTTTAAATATAACTAATAATGATGATAACAATGTTAACCTAACTGCATAATACTTCACTACAATTTAATAACGACATTAAATATGTTCACAGTCAATATACATTGTGTGGTGCCTTTTGAAGTTGCTTGTTCTTTAGCAGTAGCCTACTGAGTAGCCAAAGAGGGTGAATGATTGTAGTGTATGATAATTTGATGGTATGTTGCTGATTTCCCTAAGATATGAAGATAATTTTTGGCAGTGATGGTGGGTTGCAAGTGCACATGAAGTGAGCTAATCAAAAGACAGGTGTTAATGGACGACCTGGACATAATGCTAAACCATAGTTTAGAATGACAAGAATGAGCTGCAGTGAGACTCTGGCTCTTGTACTCTGCTTGTTTGGCAGAACTGTGAGGAGGAAGATGGGAGTTTTCACTTCCATTTTACATCCAGTGTCGCTTCCCTTGCCATCGAAACCCATGTGGCTTGTTTGGTTAGTCTCAGCTTTGGTCAGCGGAGTGTAAAGTTTGGGTGGCATACTAAACTGTGGCTTGTTTATTTCATTTTTACACCGTCTAGTAGCTGAGGCTCTGGTTAATCTGAGTGGAGGTATTTCTGAACTCACAGCTGCACCGGAGAAGAAAGAGAATAGAGTGCTCTGATGCTGGCCGTCATGGTACTAAACCATGGTTTAGCTTTAAGTATGAACACAGCTGTGGACATGAGTTGTGGGGAATAGCTAGTTTTCTGGTGGCTGTAAAGTAGCTGCATTTTAGTCTTTACTTCTTCAAAACAGTAATCTGGCTAATTAGATATATGTATTAAACAACTTTCCCCTGAGTAATAAGATTGAGTTTTTCCCTGCTTTTCTGGTCTGTTAACTGGGGGGCCCCTCCAGTTTCTCAAGGCCGCGAGTACATGACCTTGGAGGTTTTAAAGAAGATGTGTCAGAAGTTTCTAAGTCTCCTTATTTCTTAGCTGGATTAGTGGCTTAGATATTGGCCTGTGTCATTTCCCACTGTATATGACCTAGGAAAATGGATTTTCTGTGGTTTATGTCTCCAGAAAAATGCTGGCTTCAGTCATGTTTATTTGAGCTGCAGAAAGAAACACGTGTTGCACAATGTAATACATGTTAGAACCCTGTAACATGATGTGTTGCTTTTTTTTCAAGGCATGATTTTGCTCTCAAATAGGTATATCATCAGTAATTGCTTTGGGATACAGTGTTTATTCCACTTTTATAACTTTTACAGTTGAACAGGACTTCACAAGTTGAAAAAGGTCCACAGAGCTGTCCCGTTGGCTTGGCAACTGCGGACAATTGACCTCCATGCCTTACCATAAACTGATTTGTAAAGTCTGCTGGATTTCAACAGTACTTTGTCATACAACATTATGTATGTGTTGGGAAGTTGTTGATGAGGCCAGTATTCAATTGATTGCATGGAAATTGTGGAACCGCTTGAATCCTGGCCATTATGTTCATATGTTTAATAAGAAATACACACACACACACACACACACACACACACACGCGCACACACCAAGTGCCACACCTTGGGGGCAGGAGGTAGCGGATATGATCTAATTTTCCTGGTTGAGAAACAAATAGAGGCAAGAGCACAAATGCTAAAATTCTGCCAGCCCCATGGTTAGAATCCATACCCATTAAAAAGGTACAGTTCTTGTTCAGCATATGCCTTCTATTCCTGTGGCAAAGCCTCCGTTTCAGAGAGGAGGTGAAATATTGTTCACTGCCAGTGGCATTAGACGGATCCCTTGAATTACAGTATAAGCACCTTCCTGGCAAAATCTTCTGGGAAGTTTTTCCTGTGCTTAATAAATCTTTTAGTTATGCAGAGTTGCAGACTTGCTATTGCATATAGAGAACCCAAAAGCAAAATACAATGTCTGAAAGAAGTAACTCAGTGTTTTAGATATGGGTCAGCTTTGCTTATGTAGCACACACACTTAGCCAGTATTCTAGAGTTTCATTTGATACAGATAATTTCTCAGGTGCTTTCTACAGGTCCATTCCCTTTTCCTACAGGTCCATTGTCAGTTTGACTAGTGCACAGATAATCATAGCAAAACCCTGCTCATCCAAGTAGGTATACAGCTGATAAACCAGCCGAAGCAGGTAGAAAGCACTCCTGGTTGCAGTTTGCCCTGTCATAAATGGTGCCTACGTTTTGTGCTCTTTATTTTTTTTAATTAAAAACTAGATGTGGAACTTAAGTAGCTTCAGTAACATTTTTAATTGCAACTGAAATAACGTTGGATTAGGAGAAGAGAGCATTCAGCAGGTAGGTCACTTAAGAAGCACCACTCCTCCCTGGTTTCACATTCATTATATTTACATAGTCTGAATTTAACTTTCCATCACTTTAGGGAGTGTGGGTAAAAATGGTGTAGCCTCATAAGGTTTCACCTCTCATAGTGGGTACTAAGTTCCTGGAAATTCAGTTAGCCACATTGACCTCTTTGTTGACCAATTTCTTGCATTTTCCAGGATGCTGTCCCTGGTTGAAATACAAACTTATATTAATTGTGTTTACTCTTGTATTTTCTGTAGGTTGTGCGTTTGTGTCAGAACCCCAAGTTGGCGCTAAAAAACAGCCCACCGTACATTCTAGATCTGCTTCCTGACACTTACCAGCATCTGCGAAGCATTCTGTCACGCTACGAGGGGAAGATGGAGATCCTGGGAGAGAATGAATACTTCAGGGTATTCATGGAAAACCTGATGAAAAAGACAAAGCAGACCATCAGCCTCTTTAAAGAAGGAAAAGAGAGGATGTATGAGGAGAATTCTCAGCCTAGGTAATGCAATTCTCTGCAGTATTTTCAGACATTAATGGGAAGCATCACACCTTTGGAGAAGTTCTTTGTGCCAGTGTTTTCAGATGCTCGTGTACTCCTGCTTTTTCTTGAGCATAATGTTTTTCGGCAATTCATGACTTTAAGTGGGCTAGTTATTCGGAGTGCGATCTAAAATCTCCTTTTCAGTGCTATCATTTTCCAGTAACTTCTTGCACATTGAAGTAGAAAGAAGAAATTACTTTCAGAGGCAGTACTGTGGCAAACTTACAACTTAGCATTTGCAGAAGTTCACATAGCTCACAAACTGGTTAACACTAAGTAGCATTTGTATTATGGGAATTATACTGAATGTCATGACTGGGTTCCCGTGGCAAGGTAAGCCACTGCTGAAAGGCTCTGTCCACGGATGGATGCCGTTAGCAGGCTTTAGGGTCTGACCTTAAGGCCCAAGGCAGTCTGTGCAGATGCAAGTAGTCCTTCAAATAACTTCAACCCCAAACAGGATGAAGATGGGAAGAATTGTTCCCATACTCTTGTTCCCATAAAGAAAAAAAGAAAGAAAACAAGAGATGGGAGCATTTGTCTTGAGGTACAGAACCCTGAGACAGAGATCTGCAACCTTGCTTACCATGCAGGTGGCAGAAATAGAATAAACGGAGGCAGCTGTCTTTTCACTAATCTCACATGCTGAAGTGTCCCAGCTTTGGAACCTGTTTGCCTGAGAGGTGTGCCTGGCACCGATGCTTTATTCATTTCTTTTCATTCACCCAGTATTTTAGTGTTTGATTACTTTAAGGTGAGAATTTTATCATATGTTTTTACATTGTATTTTAACTGTCTTGTTGCTGTTGTGAACTGTCTTGAGACCTGTCTTGGTTTAGAGGGGATATAAATGTTTTCAGGGGAGGAAGGAAGGAGGGAGGGAGGGAAGGAAGGAAGGAAGCTTCTGGTAGTCAATGCCATAGAAGCAGTGGATGATATTTAGCCCTAAGAAGTAAAACTTGGGGCAGAATGCAGTTATTCTGTGCAGTGTTCAATGCAGCGAGTACAGTGGTAGCGTTTCTACTAAGGAATGGTTGATGCTCTTCATTGTGCTGAGTTCTGATACAGGATCTGGGCAGATGTTTTGTTAGTGCTGTTACCTTACAGGGACAGATAATAAGTTATCTGACAGTCCCAAGATGCAAAGCAGCAGCTGCCTCGTAGGGAGGATGGCAAAGTTGTTCTGGAGGTTGTGTGGAATCGTTGTTGCAGTTCCAAAGCACTGTTTTCCAAGTGTATCCTACGTTCCAGAGCACCTGCAAAACTTGAACACTGGAGCCATTTGGAACTGTACTTAACTTGAATCGACTGGTTAGATGATATGTTTGCTAGCTTTGGTGGCAAAGGTAGTTCCATTCTCCAAAAACAAATAGTTCCAACCTGAATCTGTATGTGCTTCAGTGTTTTTATAAGATTATCTGCAACATGATTCTGTAGATGGCTGGCCTTCAATTTTTAAATTTCACATATATATGTTTTCTGAATGTGGAGGTGTGAATGTGGCCATACTATTTGGGTTTGCATGATTTAGAGCAGAACTCATAATTCTTTGCCTGAGTAACTGGCATCCAGACTGTGCATGTATGTAAGGACTATTAAGCAGCAATAACCAGATTGATGTTTCAGACTTTCATCTGAATATAGCTAATTGGCCTCTTTCTAACAAGGCCTGAGGCAAGCCATCCACTTATCTCAGGAGCACAGCTTCTGGGGTTTGTTCTTCTTTACTCAGCTTCAAGAGACAGTAGGTACTGTCAGAGCTATGAGAATATCTGGAATTATGCATGCTAAGATGTCCTGATCAGGTTAGTATTTTATTTTGTTTGTCAAACCAATAGATATTGATTGCTTATTATCTGATTATTATATTATATTGAGTGACAAAGACAGGAGTACAAAAAATGTTTGCTGCGTGTACCATGAGCACAAACTTTGCAATTAAAACCTTGACTCTGTTGGAAATCCAGTATCAGCAAATGGTTTAAACCTTATTAAGCAAGTTTCTGTAAGGAGTTGGCATGCTCTGGAGGATGCACATAAAGAATATTTGACCGATTGCCTGCACAAAAAAATCTCAAGGAAGCCTCTGTGCACCCTGCCTGCAGTATGTAGTGTCTTTCCATTAATTCCATCCCAAAATGTCTGTTCCTTTCAGGACAAGCCCTCTGAAAACTCACACAAAACAGTAACTTTCACATGCCACTTGTCCATTTTAACTCTTGGGAGAAAGAAGTATAGTCTTAAGAGTTGCCACAGGGTCAGCTTTCACAAGTGGGATGCATGTGCAATTTTTACAATAAATAAAGCACCGTCTTGGGAAAGAATCATAGATCCAAGGTGGAAGAGATACCTGTGGATCAAAGCATGGGGGAAGAGGGCAGCTTGTAGGTGCTTTGTGCAAAGCTGCTTGGTAGGCCAAACCACATGTTCTCAAAATTAGTTCCTAACATGCATTTGTATTAGTTTCTAGGGAATAATACTATTAGAAACTTCTCGCTTTGAGGTATGGTATTTTGAGATGCTAGGAAAATTCTAAAGTTGGCAGTTCCCTTTTACCAGAACATGAGCTACACTTCTCCACTCTTTCATTACCTGCCCTCAGAATTCATTGTTCAGAAAGCATCTCCTTTTGTGGTTGAAATCATAAATAGATGCAAGCACACTTTGGTGTTCTATAGCAAGAAATTAGTTTCATTTGTAGCTCACAGCAGCTTCTGCTTCTTGTGGTAAAACTGGTATCACTAAATAAAATGGAAATGAGAGTTGACTTTTGGCATCTTCCCCGTCCTAACCTTCTGTCTAGCTCACAAGCCTTGGTGTATGTGATCCATGATGCTTCTCTCCATATATCCGTCTAAAGTCCATGTTATTTTGAAACCATGTAAGTTTTGCATTGCGGAATATGGCCATTCTCCACCTAGAACAAGGGCCTTGGTAGCTGGGGATCCGCTCGTCACTGCGGTGTGAGTTGAAATTCCTGTTGAGGCTTTTATTATATGTGCGCAAGGCGTTTCTCCGCATGCACTTCACGAGGCCAGTTTTCAATGAATGGAGGTGGAAGATATTCGGCATGGTGTTAATGTCCCAGATGACCCGGCCATCGTCATCTGTGTGTTAACCGTGCCCCTGCCTCCAGGAAGTCCAGAAGACATTTTGATGATTAACGCTGCAGAATCTATCCTGCTTAAAAGCTGCCTTGACTATTGCTTGAGTCCAAGGATCGACTATGCCTTTTAATAAAAGCTATCCTTCCGGAGAAATTGAGAGGCCAGGATTATAATTATGGCAAAGCTGGAGTTAAGGATGATGTGCTAAGCTAACTCCTGAAAGGTTATGCTGTCCTGGAGCTCCTCCATCAAACTCCTGCCCCCTCCATGGACACTCCATGACCTCCCTGGGTAGAGAAGTTGCTCAAGTGTTTGCCATTTAAATTCTAATGGCAACCAGGGTGTTGTGCTTGAAACATTTGCTGTCTCTCCTTCCAGGGAGACTTGCGGGACTGCTGTCTCAGCAAGATTTCTTTCGTCATTAGCTCTAGGGCATAAAGGAGCAAATCCATACAGGAAAAGGCAGCAGCTATTAAGTCTCTTTCTGAATATAAAAGGTGCTCAGGCTTTACATCTGCCCATCCTTGCCTAGGAAGGAAACTGATATTTCAAAGAGGAATACAGGATAGCTAGTATTTGAATTGCTTATAAAGTATTAGCACCCCAAACGGCAAACACAATTTCTGCACCGATAGGCCTTGTCTCGCAAAGTGGGGTAAGGAGAACACTGGGAAGCATTGTTGAGACGGCCTGTCAGAGCCTGGTGTGAAACAGCCCCCAATTGCTTTCTCCAAATGGAACTGCACTTCAGAATGACGAAAACGTGCAGAGGCTACTTCTGCATTTCAATTAGAGTATCTTAGAGGGAATTCAAAAGCTGCCCATAGAAAAAGGGGTCTTGAGTGCCAGGTTGCTACATGGGAACTGCTTGCTGCCCAAAGCAGCCCATTGCTATGAAGAAAATGTGCTTCGTTCCTTATCTAAATGCTCAAGTTAGGAAGGAGAAGAACAAAAGTACCCAGGCAGTAGTTGCAAATCATGACAGTTCTGGCCATCACTTTAGCTCCACAGTACTTGTGGCAGGAGAGAGGATCAAAGAACAAGGTGGTACAATAAAAAGGGACAAGTAAAAAGAAGTTCTGTTTCAGTTTCCCAGTTCTAAAATTCTTTGACAGGATTAGCTGAAATAACACACTTCTGAGGGTGACTGCTGCATAACACAAATAAATCGTGGTCTGTCTGGCTTATTAAATTTTCATGTATGTATGTATCATATTTATATCATGCTTCTTTCCTTCCCAGACACCCAGGGTGGTTCACATAATTCTCTTTTCAATCTTATCCTCACTACGATGACCCTGTGAAGTAAGTTGGGTTGAGAGTCTGTGACTGGCCCAAAGTCACCCAGTGAGCTCTGTTTTTCTTGTGCCATCCTTGATGTCATGGAACCTTGTCTGTTCACACTTAGGCTGCTTTTAGCAATGGGAACCACTTCTCCTTTCCCTTATTTCCATGCAAGTTAAGTATGGAGGTGTTTCTACTGTTGGCAGGTATAAATATGCTGAACCCCATCCAGAATTGCTGCTTGTGCATAGCTGGGCTTGAACATATGCCAAGTGTTTAACTGCATATTACAGACTCCCAATTCCTAGCATGTACTCCTTGTCTGCAACTCATCTCAGGATAATATTTGCCATTTATATTTTTTGCGGTGTGGTGGCTGTACATGCTACCATATTAGTTTCAAATTGCTGAAGTCCTTCCCTTCAAAATTCAGTTCAGAGATTTCAGTTTGGGAAGTTAACATTTGTGTAAGCACTTTCATTTATAGTTAGTCTGTTGAGCAAACCCACCAGAAGTTTATTTTTAGCAGGAAGTATAATCTAATATAGAGGAATATAATGCGTTTTT